TTACACCGAAAGTTTCTAAATTATGATCGAATATGAAAAATGATAAAAATATAAAGAAAATATTTGGGGTGTCGTTATGCTATTCGCCTGTCGAATGGGTTCGACATCAGATGCACGGAAAGTGACACCTCTGTCGAATGGGTTCGACGTTAGCGTACAGAGCTTGAAAACATATCTCTTTAAGTTTTACAAAATTGACTTGAACTGAAAGATTGGTAGACATATTTTTTCCAATATTATGAGTTTAGTGGTTCTTTTACAGTAGTGACAAAGGGTTATAAGCGTTTTGGCAAACTGGTTATAAATACGTTTATGTTTTCAATAGTGACATAGAGTATTGTAAGATTAGTGATAAGGTATCTTGAAACCCAATTTATTCAGTCTGACGTCTTTGAATATTGTTCCTGTATTCCTTTTAATATTTCAGGGGACACTGGTGGCTTTGATGTAATTGTCAACAACGTTTCTCCATTCAGTAAACACATGTTTTTGCAACTGTAGTAACTAGGGTTATGAAATTGTCTTTAAATGTTATGTTTTTAATCATACGTTTGGCTTTTTCAGTGCAAAGAATCAAAGGGGGGTATGAATGCGATGGAACGCCAAAGGCGTTACAGTCAAAAGGAGAGATGGCACTCCAGAAGGATATTCATTTCTGGACAGTTTTGCACCTATAACACCAGTGATTGGAGCAAGATGTTTAAGATACATCCTCATCTCTGGACAATTTGGAAACATCTATGACACCAGTGAATTCCGGTCAATCCATGATGAATGATGTTCAAGAGACATCGTCACCTCTGGACAGTTTGGAAAAAAACCTATGACACCAGGGAATCTCTGTCAATCCATGATGCAGGAAGTTCAAGAAACATCTTCAGTTCTGGGTATTTTGGAAACACATATGACACCTGTGAATCACAACAAATCCATGATGCAGGATGTTCAAGAGACATCTTCACCTCTGGACAGTTTGGAAACACCTTTGAATTGACACCAGTGACTCCCGATAAATCCATGATGCAGGATGTTCAAGTGACATCTTCACCCCTGCATGAAGGGGTAGATGAAAAATCCAATGGCAATATTGTTTATTTGTATTTTTGTGAGTTACCCATGTCTCAAAATTCTACAACAGCATTTGTTATGAAAATGTTTTTCGTCGTAAAACCGACATGTTAACCAGTGAGACAGGTTTCAGTTCAAATGACAATTTAAAAAATCCTTACTTTAAAACATGTAACAGCAGTGACTTGTAATTTGCATTTTTCGTTTTTAAATGTCTACAAAAGCAATATTAGGATTCATTAAGGTTGCCAACTATCTACCTTAACTCTAAAACATGTTGTTTTTGTATTAATGAACCAAAATCAATGAAAAGAAATATTTGCTTTTTGAAATTCATAGGCACGAAATATCTTACAAATTTTGAAAATGACTCAGATATGTTGTATCACCCTGTAGACCCACCACAGAAATACCTGCTGTTTCTCCTTTTCCACTCATCACGTACAAACATTTTGTATCTCCCATAACACTCCTAACACACAGGCATGTTGTATCTCCCTATACATTCCTAACATACATGCATGGTGTATCTCCCTATACAAACATAACACACAGGCATGTTGTCTCTCCCAATGCACTCCTAACACAGGCATATTGTATCTCCCTAGACACTCCTCACACAGGCATGTTATATCTCCCTATACACCCCTAAAACATATACATGTTGTATTTCCCTATACACTTCTAACACACAGACATGTTGTATATCAATATACTCTCCTAACACACAGGCATGTTGTATCTCCCCATACACTCCTAACACACAGGCATGTTGTATCTCCCCATACACTCCTAAAACACAGGCATGTTCTATCTCCCTATACACTCCTAACACACAGGTATGTTGTATCTCCCTATATACTCCTAACACAGGCATGTTGTATATCCCTATATTCTCCTACACACAGGTAAGTTGTATCTCCCAAAAAATTCCTCACACAGGCATGTTCTATCTCCCTACAAACTCCTAACACACATGCATGTTGTATCTCCCTATACACTCCTAACACACAGACATGTTGTATCTCCCTATACACCCCTAACACACAGGCATGTTGTATATCCCTAAATTCTCCTTCACACAGGTAAGTTGTATCTCCCTATACACTCCTAACACTCAGGCATGTTGTATCTCCCTATACCCTCCTGACACAGGCATGTTGTGTCTCCCTATAGCTTTACACTTCTAACACACAGACATGTTGTATCTTCATATACACTTCTAACACACAGGGACGTTGAATCTCCCTATGCAATCATAACACACAGGCATGTTGTATCTCCCTTTTCACTCCCAACACTGAGGCATGTTGTATCTCCCTTTTCACTCCCAACACTGAGGCATGTTGTATCTCCCTTTTCACTCCCAACACTGAGCCATGTTGTATCTCCCTATAGCAATACACTCCTAACACACAGACATGTTGTATCTCCCTATACCTCCTAACACAGAGGCATGTTGTATCTCCCAATGCACTCCTAACACACAGGCATGTTGTATCTTCCGATACACTCCTACACACAGGCAAGTTGTATCTCCCTACATAATCCAAACACAGTGGCATGTTGTATCTCCCCATACACTCCAACACACAGTAATAATGTATCTCCGTTTATAATCCTAACACAGAGGCATGTTATATCTCCCAATGCACTCCTGACACAGAGGCATGTTGTATCTCCCTATTCACCGCTAACACACAGGCATGTTGTATCTCCCTTTCCACTCCTAACACTGAGGCATGTTGTATATCCCTATAGCAATACACTCCTAACACACAGACATGTTGTATCTCCCTATACCCCCCTAACACACGGGCATGTTGTATCTCCCTATACCCCCCTAACACACAGACATGTTGTATCTCCCTTTCCACTCCTAACACTGAGGCATGTTGTATATCCCTATAGCAATTACACTCCTAACACACAGACATGTTGTATCTCCCTATACCCCCCTAACACACAGGCATGTTGTATCTCCCTTTCCACTCCTAACACTGAGGCATGTTGTATATCCCTATAGCAATACACTCCTAACACACAGACATGTTGTATCTCCCTATACCCCCCTAACACACAGACATGTTGTATCTCCCTATACCCCCCTAACACAAAGGCACGTTGTATCTCCCTACAGCAATACACTCCTAACACACAGATATGTTTATCTCCCTATACACCCCTAACACACAGTCATGTTGTATCTCCCTATACAATCCTAACACAGAGGCATGTTGTATCTCCCTATACACTCCTACACAAAGTCATGTTGTATCTCCCTATACAATCCTAACACAGAGGCATGTTTATCTCCCTATACACCCCTACACACAGTCATGTTGTATCGCCCTATACAATCCTAACACAGAGGAATGTTGTATCTCCCTATACACTCCTACGCACAGTCATGTTGTATCTCCCACTACAATCCTAAAACAGAGGCATGTTGTATCTCCCAATGCACTCCTGACACAGAGGCATGTTGTATCTCCCTATAGCAATACGCTCCAAACACACAGATATGTTGTATCTCCCTATACCCCCCTAACACAGTGGCATGTTTTATCTCCCAATGCACTCCTAACACAGGCATGTCGATCACCCTTTACACCCCTAACACACAGGCATGTTGTATGTACCTACTCCCTCCTAACACTGACATGTTGTGTCTCCTTATACACCCGTAATACACAGGCATGTTGTATCTCCCTTTCCAGTCCTAACACACAGGCATGTTGTATCTCCCTATGGCCATACACTCCTAACACACAGACATGTTTATCTCCCTATACACCCCTAACACACAGGCATGTTGTATCTCCCAATGCACTCCTAACTCAGGCATGTTGTATATCCCTATATTCTCCTACACACAGGTATGTTGTATCTCCCTATACACTCCTAACACACAGGCATGTTGTAACTCTCTTTATACACCCAACACACAGGCATATTGTATCTCCCTATACACTCCTTACACTCAGGCGTGTTGTATCTCCCTATACACTTCTGACACAGGCATGTTTTGTCTCCCTATATCTATACACTCCTAACACTGAGGCATGTTGTTTCTCACAATGCGCTACCCACATAGGCATGTTGTATCTCCCTATACACCCCTGACACACAGGCATGTTGTATCTCCCTTTCCACTCCTAACACAGAGGCATGTTGTATCTCCCTATAGCAATACACTCCTAACACATAGACATGTTGTATCTTTATATATACTCCTAACACACAGGCATGTTAAATTTACCTGCACACTCCTAACACACAGGCATGTTGTATCTACCTGCACACTCCTAACACACAGGAATGTTGTATCTACCTGCACACTCCTAACACACAGGCATGTTGTATCTACCTGCACACTCCTAACACACAGGCATGTTCTATCTACCTGCACACTCCTAACACACAGGCATCTATTAGACAAATGTAATGAGACAAATTCCTCGCACATTAAGGATTTGTGGACAAGTCATGCAAGTGCACAGGTGTGCAGATTTGCGTTTAAAGAGTTTTGGTAAAAGATTTTCTGCCATGTATTTTCATGAGGATTTCACATGAACTGTCCCCAGTCATCTGCTGGTGGTCCTGTAACCTTATTTGTCTTTGTAAGTTTACAGAGTCGCCTCTTTCACACTGCCGATTGAAAACTGTCATCTATGATTGGGCTGCAAGAACATAGTTAAATGTTTCTGGGTATATTTGACTCAAGTGTGAGGAAGGAGGTAGAATTTCTTTATAATTATATGTAAATAAATATATTGACTATAAGTGTGCTGTGGGAGGATCATTAATTTATTTAATTTATTTGTTTCGCACCAAGATTACTAACAAACACAACTGGTCACTCATTGAAACAGTGCTCGTTAATACAATGTCAGTTGTCAAACACGTAATTTTACTGATAACAGAGCATGTGTCATATGACGCGGAAATATGCTTTTATTGGAAATTAAAAGGACCCGGGCGATTTAAAGTGAAACGCCGGTGCCCAGAAAAAAACATTTTCTTTGTTTTCAGCCTTAAGTTCTAAACTGGGTCTATGGTTTTCAGAAATGATCATTGGAAAAACGACATTTCTTAAATATACATGAGGACAATTCCAATTTTGCATAATATTGTAAGGATTATATTTTATTGTTCCCATGCAGATGTTGACATCCTGTCTCGCGCATGGGATAATTATTGAAAAGTAGACAGGACATTGTCGAGTTGTAACCCTTACAAAAACAAGCAAAAAGTATCAAAAGTAACCACTGCAAGATAATTGTCGTATTGTTGCACTGCCACATTTTCAATATTGTTCACCTTTACTCAAGAGCGAAAATACAACAAGGCGACATTTTGCAAGTAAACATATGAGTGTTATCGCCTTGTCGCTTTGTTGCATTATCACCCCATCTAAAATGTGTAAGAAATGTGTAAAATTGCATGCGGCATAATGACATATGTTGTTGCCGTTTTCCACTTTCTAAAAACGGTTATACTTATTTTCAAACTCCAGTGTTTTTTTGTAGTCCCAACAACTTTTTTAAAGCAATGAAGGGGCAGTGCTCGGCCAGTTTACTTAGGTGGCGCAATTCGCTGTGTAGAGTTGCATCCCCAATGATCGTTGGCTCAAATCCCCTAAATGCCTCCTGAATATGTGAGAACGACATCCATGTTTAGGGATTTCCCCAAAGGGGTTGACTGTAAGACCAACATCACTTAAAGCTTTCCTTTCACATCAAACTGACACGCCGTGAAATAACTGAAATACTGTTAAAAGCAGCGTTAAATAATACTCTTTCACTCATGATATCCTTTTGACGAAAATACATTGAGAGAGCTTTGAACCACATCTGGCACTGCATATATGTATACTTATAACTGTCGTGACTGAGTTTGAGCCCTTTGCCCTGATGTAGAATTATTGATCTTGCTTTGTTAAAATTTTGAAAATAAGCAGTAATTAATATGAGCGTGATAATTAAATGAAATTGAAATACACGTGTTTATTGCTGTCAAAACACGTTGGTTCATGAAAATTATACAGACAATAAGATATATGGAATAATTTCCCAAGAAACGAGCAAAGCTTTGTTTTCCTTTTGAGATAAGGAATCGTATTGGCAGTGTTACTGTTGTTTTAGTATCATGTTGAACTAAACACACCACTCCAGTTTGAAAAAGTGTTTGACATTTTTGTGCTTGCGTACCATTAATGGAAAAGGGCGAGAACGTGACATTATCATTATGTATCACTGTCGCCTTGTCGCGCATTTCAACCTTTTAGATGAGTGCGACAACGGGGCATATTTTGACATTGCAAATTTTAGGATTGTCGAATTGACTTCCTTTGGTAAGAACCGAAAATAATATTCAAAGTGCAGTAATGCGACAAAGCCACAATAGGTCAAAATGTCGCGCTTTGGTATATTTTGACACTTTTTGCTTGTTTTTGTCAGGACAACGTCACAATGCGATATCACGGGTGCGACAGTGTACCTTCTAAGATTCCATAGATAATTATCAACATTTGCACTCAGAAAAGATTGCTGAAAAAGTTACATTTACTTAAATTACAAGCAATACTGATTAACATAACTATTAAACACATAGTGGTCAGTTGGCTAAGCTAAAGTATGTCGCAAACGTGGTAGTTAAAATCTTCATGTGTCTACCAATCGCGCTCGTCAGACCCTGTGGCGATTTCCTACCTGTGTCATCGACCGATATCATATTTACATCGTTTATAATATTAGCTACATTCATACAATTATTTAATAGTGCTATCAGGAATGGCTTCTAGTTGTAATAAAAGAAAGATCAACATTTTCCAGATGATCTATCCATATATGTCTCTGATCTGTATAAATAATCGGTGTCTGTAAGTTCAGTCTCCACTAGGTGGCCCTGTCGGGGGCTTCAGGTCCCACGTGATGACCTGTTTCACAACCACATTGAGAAACTATGAAGTTTGGCAGGACGCTGCTCATAAACACTCCCACTGTTTCCCGATATATTAGTCTCAAAGCGCGCCTGTGCGTAGAAACACATAACATTGTATTTTCTGGTCCATAAACATTCTGATTTGTACATGCACCGACACATTCTCCGGTTGTGAACCCGGGAGGGGAGATAATCCAATCACCCCATCCTATTTCTGTGAAATTGATGTATAACTCTCTTTTGCAGCACCGAGAACATTGAAAGTTAATGCTCCTCTTTCTTCTGCTGTTCGCCTCCACCAATGTGTGCAGTATCAAGAAGGGACGACCCTTGTTTAGTTTAGGTACTCTGGTACTTCTAGTTCTTGCTCTTGTTCTAGCTCTGGCTCTGGCTCTTTGTCGTTTTAACTGTCGTTTCCTGCGCCGTCTTGGGTGAACCAACACTACTTGCGTATTTCTCTTACACCCTTGGCATTGGACGTGCAGGAGCACAGTACCGTTAGACGAGTCCACTAACGTCTGCATTATAGTCCGATTAAGACTTACTTTGAACCATTTGTTTTTCTTTATCCTTGATTTGACTGCTGCGATGTTTGTTTCAGGATGTCCATCAGGAGTCACAGTGGAAACCGACAAGGAAACCTTGGTTCCCCGCCTCCGTTTACGTAACTTGAAGCGTTTTGTTTTAAGCCTCAAATTACCGTCTTTTCTGGTCTTCATCCCCTCGCGTTGCTTGTTCTTGACTCTAATCAGCAGATTGGCACTTTTCACAACCAGTCGCTTGCCTTTGGTTCCTTTTGCAAAACGAAACTGAATAATTTTCTCATCTTCAAACTTGTCTGAAACATAAGAATTAACTACATGAGTGACCGGTTCAGTGACAACCGCACGTGCACTAGATACTCAGACAAGTATTTCAAAATAATTCTATGGAAAAGATGTTAAACGTCTTACCAGGGGGCTCAGAAAAGCTGATTATCTCATTAACTTCTGCCTTTGTCCCCGTCACATTGTACATTTGATAGATCCTGTCTTTGTCGCCGGGGGCCGACGTGGGACGAGTGTTCATACCTAGATGGATCAGAATCTGCTGCTTGATTTTCTCCGTCAACTGGAATTTTGTCAAATTTTTAACTAGAAAGTCATTTTTCAAACCCTGTAACCTAGGCTGACTTGTGATGCTAGCGACACACAGTAGGAACATTACACTGGGTGTTGTCACGTGCATGGCTGATATCCGCATATTAAATAGCAGGTGCTGAAATAAATAATGACCTCTAATTAATTCAAATTCAACAATCCAGAAAGAAACCTGATGTTTTTACCTATAGCAAATATGTAAACTTTAAGTATACATGTTACCTAATATGTATTGTAGCATTCCTTTGTATATGCATGCGCTGGTTCAATTCTACTCTGGTCGTTTTCTTGTCATGGTTGTCAAACCTTAGGGACCTGTAAAGGTTGTCAACTTTAGTGACCTGTAATGGTTGTCAACCTGAGTGACCTGAATGGATGTCAATCCGTCTGACGTGTAGTGTAATCGTATGCTTGTAATGGTTGTCAGTCTGACGTGTAGTGTAATCGTATGCTTGTAATGGTTGTCAGTCTGACGTGTAGTGTAATCGTATGCTTGTAATGATTGTCAGTCTGACGTGGATTGTAATCGTATGCTTGTAGTAATTGTCAGTGTGACGTTGATTGTAATCGTATGTTTGTAATGATTGTCAGTGTGACGTGGATTGTAATCGTATGCTTGTAGTGACTGTCAGTGTGACGTGGATTGTAATCGTATGCTTGTAGTGACTGTCAGTGTGACGTGGATTGTAATCGTATGCTTGTTATTCATGTCAGCGCACATCCTGGCGAGCAATGTTTGACTAGTTTCACATACATGATGATATACGAGCCGCCGTGCAGTATTGTACGACACATGTCTTGGTCATGCACCAGGGGTTTTACTGAGGAAGGGGGCGACAACCATGATGACAGCGTTATCATGCAATGAGGACGACATATGTCCTGTCATGTGGAACTAAGAGTGATAGTCGGTGTTCCGAGCATGCTACTCAGTACAAACAAATCAAGTTACTAATTTGTTGTATCGGCTGTAGACTTCTCTCTAGATAGTGCACACACGAGAACAGGCCAGGTGGTTAACATTATGCTATTTCTCCAGGGCTTTGTAGCGCTACACCAGCGAGCACTGCTATGCGTCATTACATTCAATAATAGAGAACCTCGTCCATATTGCGTTCTTTGTTGATGAAAGAGACTTTACCACACACACAACTGCCAGTGTTCATCACGCCACTGTTCTCCAATACACACTTGCCAAACTAACAAATGGTATAGGCATTGTTAAAGATCAATCACATATATACCATAAGATAGCAATATCCTCGCGATCACTGGGTTACTGGGTGAGGGCTAGTATTTCTTCAACATTTCACACACCCCACTGTTACAGCAATAACAGAGGAGGACGATCTTCAAAGCATCTGGCATCATACCAAGGACAAATGTCGGCCAAGTCAACAATGAGGGTAACTGTACACTCGACTTTAATCTTACTTGCTACTGTGTGCAATAACGCTGCCTTGTATGTGCACATGGGACTGCTAACACTTTTATTACCATCGTGGTTTGAAGTCTTTACATATTATACTGTTTAGGAAAACAGTGCGTTTATCTTGTTCTTCCCATGTGAGATTTAGCCCTTCACACATCAAACCGTGTGTTCTCCACACGTTGAATATTGTCCTCCTTGTGTCACATCCTGAACTACACATGTCACCTCTTCTCCAGCACATGTCACCTCTTGTCCCTCACATATCACAACTTGTCCCTCACATGTCACATCTGGTACCACACATGTCACATCTTGTCCCTCACGTGGCACAATTTGTCCCTCACATGTCACAGCTTGTCCCTCGCATGTCACAATTTGTCCCTCACATGTCACACCTTGTCCCTCACATGTCACAATTTGTCCCTCACATGTCACATCTTGTCCCTCACATGTCACATCTTGTCCCTCACATGACACATCTTGTCCCGCACATGGTACATCTTGTCCCGCACATGGCACATCTTGTCCCTCACAATGCACATCTTGTCCCTCACACGTCACATCTTGTCCATCACATGTCACATCTTGTACCTCACATGTCACATCTTGTCCCTCACATGTCACATCTTGTACCTCACATGTCAAATCTTGTCCCTCACAATGCACATCTTGTCCCTCACATGTCACATCTTGTACCTCAAATGGCACATCTTGTCCCTCACACGTCACACCTTGTCCCTTACATGTCACATCTTGTACCTCACATGTCACATCTTGTCCCTCACATGTCACATCTTGTCCCTCACATGTCACATCTTGTACCTTACATGTCACATCTTGTCCCTCACAATGCACATCTTGTCCCCGACATGGCACATCTTGTCCCTCACATGGCACATCTTGTCCCTCACATGGCACATCTTGTCCCTCACGAATCACATCTTGTTCCTCACATGTCACATCTTGTGCCTCACGTGTCACATCTTGTTGCTCACATGTCACATCTTGTTGCTCACATGTCACATCTTGTTCCTCACATGTCACATATTGTCCCTCACGTGTCAAATCTTGTTCCTAACATGTCACATCTTGTCCCTCACGTGTCACATCTTGTTCCTCACATCTCACATGTCACATCTTGTCCCTAACGTGTCACATCTTGTCCCTCACATGTCACATCTTGTACCTCACATGTCACATCTTGTCCCTCACATGTCACATCTTGTCCCTCACATGTCACATTTTGTACCTCACATGTCACATCTTGTCCCTCACAATGCACATCTTGTCCTCGACATGTCACATCTTGTCCCTCACATGGCACATCTTGTCCCTCACATGGCACATCTTGTCCCTCACGTGTCACAATTTGTCCCTCACACGTCATATCTTGTCCATCACATGTCACATCTTGTTCCTCACGTGTCACAATTTGTCCCTCACATGTCATATCTTGTCCCTCACATGTGACATCTTGTCCCTCACAATGCACATCTTGTCCATCACATGTCACATCTTGTTCCTCACATGTCACATCTTGTCCCTCACGAATCACATCTTGTTCCTCACATGTCACATCTTGTGCCTCACGTGTCACATCTTGTTGCTCACATGTCACATCTTGTCCCTCACATGTCACATCTTGTCCCTCACATGTCACATCTTGTACATCACATGTCACATCTTGTACCTCACATTTCATATCTTGTCCCTCACGTGACACTATTTGTCCCTCACACGTCATATCTTGTCTATCACATGTCACATCTTGTACTTCACAATGCACATCTTGTCCCTCACACGTCATATCTTGTCCATAACAATGCACATCGTGTCCATTACATGTCACATCTTGTACCTCAGACGTCACATCTTGTACCTCAGACGTCACATCTTGTTCCTCACATGTCACATCTTGTCCATCACATGTCACATCTTGTTCCTCACATGTCACATCTTGTCCCTCACATGTCACATCTTGTACCTCACACGTCATATCTTGTCCCTCACATGTCACATCTTGTCCCTCACATGTCACATCTTGTCCATCACAATGCACATCTTGTCCCTCACGTGTCACAATTTGTTCCTCACACGTCATATCTTGTCCCTCACAATGCACATCTTGTCTCTCACATGTCACATCTTGTCCCTCACATGTCACATCTTGTCCATCACAATGCACATCTTGTCCCTCACGTGTCACAATTTGTCCCTCACACGTCATATCTTGTCCCTCACATGTCACATCTTGTCCCTCACGTGTCACAATTTGTCCCTCACACGTCATATCTTGTCCATCACATGTCACATCTTGTTCCTCACTTGTCACATCTTGTCCCTCACAATGCACATCTTGTCCCTCACATGTCACATCTTGTCCCTCACATGTCACATCTTGTCCCTCACATGTCACAATTTGTCCCTCACATGTCATATCTTGTCCATCACATGTCACATCTTGTTCCTCACGTGTCACATCTTGTCCCTCACAATGCACATCTTGTCTCTCACATGTCACATCTTGTTCCTCACATGTCACATCTTGTCCCTCACATGTCACATCTTGTCCCTCACATGTCACATCTTGTCCCTCACATGTCACATCTTGTCCCTCACATGGCACATTTTGTACCTCACATGTCACATCTGTCCCTCACATGTCACATCTTGTCCCTCACAATGCACATCTTGTCCCTCACATGTCACATCTTGTCCCTCACATGTCACATCTTGTCCTCCACAAGTCATATCTTGTCCTCCACAAGTCATATCTTGTCCTCCACAAGTCATATCTTGTCCTTCACATGTCACATCTTGTCCTTCACATGTCACATCTTGTTCTTCACATGTATGATTGTTCATTTTTTAACACATGGAACTATAATGATGTAATGCTGCAACATTGATATATAGAGGTTATCACGCGAGTGTGTTTAGGGATGGTAAATATCCTGCATTAGGAATAAACATTGTATTTAGCGAGCCTTGGCGAGCTAAATACATAGTGTTTATTCCTAATACAGGATATTTCCCATCCCCAAACACACAAGAGTGATAACCTCTTTATCATATAATGTCATTCTTTAATTCTGTGCTTTAAAATCGCTTTCCCTCTCTCACAAACATTACCGAAACATTGCGACTTTTCCTGGAATGCGTGCATTAATATTTATTACGTCACAGGGTAGGTGATGTGTCAGTCGGACAGTGACAGTAGCCGATATAGTTCCAACTGAAATCTGTTTCTGATACAGTGGCGAAGCAACATATACGCAAAACAACAGTTGTTTTTAATTGCCTTTCCCGGCATTCCATCGGTCTGTCCGCTATAGTAACTGCCCTTTGTCAAAGGGAAGCTACTCTTACCCTAGTCTATGAGACGTCACGGCAAGACGTTGTTGACAGTCGGTCTGTCCTGTTATAACGTTAAAAAGTGTAGTCAGATGTACACACAGCGTCAAATCGAAACAAGGTTACAATTCAGACTTATTTCGGCCAAATCCAACTATTTTAATTTGTGGAGAAGGTTTCAAGCCGCAGAGGTCTACAAGCACAGATATGGCTACTGATCCCGCTTGGCTAGGCCTCGTGCCCTCGCAAAATTGTTTCGAAATTTATATCTCCAAAGTTGCCAAAACTTATAAATTGCCTTAGCTACGTCACAGTTAGACACTGATTTTCAG